TATAACACACGGATATCATATCTATTATTGTCCGACTGTTTTATAGCTACTCGTGTATAACACACGGATATCATATCTATTACTGTTTTATAGCTACTTGTGTATAACACACGGATATCATATCTATTATTGTCCGACTGTTTTATAGCTACTCGTGTATAACACACGGATATCATATCTATTATTGTTTTATAGCTACTCGTGTATAACTAGATGTATACATACACATTCATTTAACCCAATTACTTTACACTTGTTTATCTAGGGCTTTGACTTGTTTAACTATTTAATTTAAGTTTCTCTTCTTAACCACTCACAGACAACAGATAACAGGGTTTGAGTACTAGCATGGAGAGTGTGTTCTCAGGCTGGCTGAGTAACGTGACGTACAACTGAACAAAGTCAAAAGTTAACAGATGGTAACGTATGGTGAAACACGAGGTGGTTTCTATGTGGTTTCTAAGTCTTGCGAACTAAACACTTAATGTACAGCGATAATTCAATATCATAACTTGAGGTGTCTTGTAAGGAACATGAATACCTTGACCTTGATGTCCCGCAAAACCTACAAATATTTCTAGACTGTTATTAATAGGTTGTACAATAAAGCAAACATCTGTAGAAGTTTATTAAATAATAGGTAGCAAACATCTGTAGAAGGTTATTAAATAATAGGTAGCAAACATCTGTAGAAGGTTATTAAATAATAGGTAGCAAACATCTGTAGAAGGTTATTAAATAATAGGTAACAGACATATGTAGAAAGTCGTTAATTATTAGGCAACACAATAAAGAAAACATCTATAGAAGGTTATTAGTATAACTAGATGTAAAGCATCTGTAGAAGGTTAATAATTATTAGGCAACACAATAAAGGAAATATCTGTAGAAGGTTATTAGTATAACTAGATGTAAAGCATCTGTAGAAGGTTATTAGTATAACTAGATGTAAAGCATCTGTAGAAGGTTATTAATTATTAGGCAACACAATAAAGGAAATATCTGTAGAAGGTTATTAGTAAAACTAGGTGTAAAAACATCTGTAGAAGGTTATTAATATAACTAGATGTAAAAACATCTGTAGAAGGTTATTAGTATAACTAGATGTTAAAACATCTATAGAAGGTTATAAATATAACTAAATGTAAAAATATCTGTAGAAGGTTATTAGTATAACTAGATGTAAAAACATCTGTAGAAGGTTATTAACATAACTAGATGTAAAAACATCTGTAGAAGGTTATTAATATAACTAGATGTAAAAACATCTGTAGAAGGTTATTAATATAACTAGATGTAAAAACATATGTAGAAGGTTATTAGTATAACTAGATGTAAAGACATCTGTAGAAGTTTATTAATATAACTAGATGTAAAACATCTGTAGAAGTTTATTAGTATAACTAAATGTAAAGACACCTGTAGAAGTTTATTAATATAAGTAGATGTAAAACATCTGTATAAGGTTATCAATATAACTAGATGTAAAAACATCTGTAGAAGGTTATTAATATAACTAGATGTAAAAACATATGTAGAAGGTTATTAGTATAACTAGATGAAAGACATCTGTAGAAGTTTATTAATATAACTAGGTGTAAAAACATCTGTAGAATGTTATTAATATAACTAGATGTAAAACATCTGTAGAAGTTTATTAGTATAACTAGATGTAAAAACATATGTATAAGGTTATCAATATAACTAGATGTAAAAACATATGTAGAAGTTTATTAATATAACTAGATGTAAAACATCTGTAGAAGGTTATTAGTAAAACTAGATGTAAAAACATCTGTAGAAGGTTATTAATATAAGTAAAAACATATGTAGAAGGTTATTAATATAACTAGGTGTAAAAACATCTGTAGAATGTTATTAATACATCTAGATGTAAAACATCTGTAGAAGTTTATTAGTATAACTAGATGTAAAAACATATGTAGAAGTTTATTAATATAACTAGATGTAAAACATCTGTAGAAGGTTATTAGTAAAACTAGATGTAAAAACATCTGTAGAAGGTTATTAATATAAGTAAAAACATATGTAGAAGGTTATTAGTATAACTAGATGTAAAGACATCTGTAGAAGTTTATTAATATAACTAGATGTAAAACATCTGTAGAAGTTTATTAGTATAACTAGATGTAAAGACATCTGTAGACGGTTATTAGTATAACTAGATGTAAAGACATCTGTAGATTCATCTTGAACGTGTCTGTTGTGAAACATGTTTCTCAGCTTTACATTACTATTAATCACGACCTGTTCATGTTAAGAAACATGTTTTCCTGGTCTACATTACTATTTATAATGACATGTTCATGTTGTGAAACGTGTTTCCCAGGTCTACATTACTATTTATAATGACATGTTCATGTTGTGAAACGTGTTTTCCAGGTCTACATTACTATTTATAATGACATGTTCATGTTGTGAAACGTGTTTCCCAGGTCTACATTACTATTTATAATGACATGTTCATGTTGTGAAACGTGTTTTCCAGGTCTACATTACTATTTATAATGACATGTTCATGTTGTGAAACGTGTTTTCCAGGTCTACATTACGTACAAGACATTTATACCAATTCTTCACATATATTAAAAACAATAGTTCCTTCTTACCTTAATGTTTCTATGGACTTGTAACGGGTTAGGTCAAAGGTCAGAACAGCTGCTGCAGCACCCCGACAATAGAAAGAGCTCAAACCTGAATATTTCTCCGCACCAGCGGTGTCCTGAAAAACCAGAATTAAATACCAATTGTCACTGGTATCGACATAACCTTCCGCAACAGAAAGTGATGATGAAAATTAAAAAGAGGAACACTTCCGGGTTGATAGACTTAACACTTCCGGGTGATTTAATCGCTACTTCCGCTAATAAGATGGTTTTTTTTTAGTACAAAGCTACACAGTGGACTATCTTCGCTATTTCCACTACGGGGGATCGAAGCCCAGGCTTGGAAGTCCATACAATTAGCATTAACCCAGCGGAAAATCAGTTAATAAATAAGGAGTGACCGATAGACATGCCTCTCTTGGACTTTCCAAAAAATGGATCATCAATGATATGATAACCTTATGTTTGAATGTACATTTTCAAGGCTGAACGTGTTATTTTTATTCCAAAGATTAAACCTAACAACCAGTATCTCTTGATGTTTAATAGTTAAACAATGAGTGTCCTAAATAAATGATGACGTCACAAAAAAACAACTTGCGCACAATGATGAAAAGGCGTACATGGAATCGCACTTAAATTAAATTGTTGACTGACAACCCTACTATCCTCACGAGTCTTAGTTGTTGTTGTTTTTTTTACACTGATTTAAACGACGTTAAAGCAAAAAGAGAAGTCATTTTGATAGGAAGGTTTGTTTGTTTAAAGTTAAGCACAAAGCTACACAGTCTATCTGTGCTCTGCCCACCACGAGTATCGAAACCCGGTTTTTAGCGTTGTAAGTCCGCAGACATACCGCTGTGCCACTGGTTGGTGAATAGATAAACAGATATACAAACATTTTGATATCATGTATAGGAAGAATGGAAAAAGACGTATATACACATTTTGATATAATGTACGGGAAGAATAGAAAAACATGTACAAATATTTTGATATCATGTATGGGAAGAATAGATAAACACGTGTACAAACATTTTGATATCATGTATGGGAAGAATAGATAAACACGTGTACAAACATTTTGATAATACGAATAAGAAAGATATATTTAACTTTTACTGTTCATCTCTTTGTTTGTGACGTAGGTTTTCAATTTATCTTATTTCTCTTTCATAGTCGACGTAGGTTTCATTTATCTTATTTCTCTTTCATAGTCGACGTAGTTTTAATTTATCTTATTTCTCTTTCATAGTCGACGTAGGTTTTAATTTATCTTATTTCTCTTTCATAGTCGACGTAGGTTTTAATTTATCTTATTTCTCTTTCATAGTCGACGTAGGTTTTAATTTATCTTATTTCTCTTTCATAGTCGACGTAGGTTTTAATTTATCTTATTTCTCTTTCATAGCCGATTTATATATATCATCTACGTGATCGCGCGCACAGCAGCTGACAACAAGGCTGGAGAAATACAGACATATAATTATTCACGCGACAAAACGCCTCCAAAAGTGACCCCACGACGTGCAGTTCTTGACCTCTTTTCATGATCTACATAATCCGTGTGCCTTAAAAATATATATCGTAGAGAAACCACTCGGCCTCTCGATGCCTCAGCAGTAAGCCTGAGGCTTATAAAGTTAAGTATCAGAGTTCAATTTCGCCCGGTGGGCAGAGCACAAACAGCCCATTGTGTAGCTTTGAGCTTAAAAACAAACATTCGTATTAAACTCTTCCGCCAAACAGAGACATGTAACTGGTCGTGACGTAATAGCAGCACCATTACTCTAATATACCTGCACGTCTTCCTCGTGAAGGCACACAGCTGGTGGATTAAAGTAGCAAGCAGGTTTCATTTCGTCTAATTGATTTATAGCACTACGACATTTTCTCTTTCTGCTTTAATGACTCGTATTTTAAACAAAATTTAAGTTTCTTTAGTTTAAGTGTTATTTCTTATTTTCATTAAGTTTTTTTTATTGCGTGAATGAACTTGTTTTGAAGTTGTTTGCAACTATCACAATGTCAGTTAAAATCCTCAATCCTTTGACAAAAAGTTAGAATCAAGAGTTTAGAGACTTATAAGCTTATGCGTTTTTTTTTTCCATGGGGCTAGGTGTGATCCACTGATTAGGGTGACCGCACTGTGAATCTGCAAAAATACGTTCCACACTTTAGAGCCATAGGTGCGTTATAAGAGTAACGGTTAAATCCCTTATTCGGTTTGAGTTGAATTTCCCGCAAAGCTACACGAGAGTTATCTGCACTAGCCGTTCCTAGTTTAATAGTGATAGACTAGAAGGGAGGCACATGATCAACACCATCCACCGCTAACTCTTTTACCAACGAATAGTGAGATTGACCATAACGTTATAACGCTCCCACGGCTGAAAGGACGAGCACGTTCGGTGACGGGGATTCAAAGTCGAACGCCTTAACCACTTGGCCAAGTTAGGCCACTTATTCAGTCTAGAGTTGGCGGCGGATACTTCTTGAATATCTACCTTCTCACTAGGCCATCAGTGCAGAATAAGGGACGGCTAGCGCAGCTAGCCTTGTGTAACTTTACGCTAACAGACAATAAAAATAAGGCCCAGAGAGCTCTTCCTGTCGAGTTCTACTAATATTCTGAATACGGATTTTTTCTTAGATCAAAATTAAAATTTATAACACAATTCCAAACTCATTTTTATCTAACTGTTTTACTTCTATTCTCTATTGAATACAGAGAGGCTCTAAATGTACGAATTTCTGACGTAGTTAGTAAAACACTGTAACTATGATAAATTTTAAGATCTTCTTCCCCCCAAAAAATTATTGTTTAAGAGCAAATAAAAACAGAGGTTTTTCTGCGCTGTTCCCAACAGAGAGGTCCCTCGGTGGGACAGAGGTAAGTCTATGGACTTAAAATGCTGAAATCCGGAGTTCGATAGGCCCGGCAAGACCAGGTGGTTAGGGCGCTTGACTCGCAATCTGAGGGTTACGGGTTCGAATCCCCGTCCCACCAAACATGCTCGCCCTTTCAGCCGTGGGGGCGTTATATTGTGACGGTCAATCACGCTATTCGTTGGTAAAAGAGTAGCCTAAGAGTTGGCGGTGGGTGGTGATAACTAGCTGTCTTCTCTCTAGTCTTACACTACTAAATTAGAGACGGCTAGCGCAATTAGCCCTCGTGTGGCTTTGCGCGAAATTAAAAAAAGAAACAAATAAACAAGCCGGAGTTCGATTCCACGCTGTAGACACAGCAGATGGCCGAATGTGGCTTTGCTGTAAAAAAATAAAACCCACCAGAGGGACAGAACCCGCAATTTTAACGTTATGAACCCGCAAGCTACTTAGGAGAGTAGGAGGGTAAGTAAAATATAATAATGATAACGGAGCAACTTATTTTTATATATTAATTGATTTGAAAATATTCCAAACCCAATAATACCGTATTTGTGATTTACTTTGAACACAATAGATCTAACATTTTATCAGATGTGATGTTGTACAAAGTTATGACCCGAAATTTAACGTTACTTCAATTTATCAAACAAGATTCGAAATTTGGCCTTGGACCCATTTCTGAGACAATACGTGAAAGTCAGAAATTTTATTTAACATATTTTATTTTAATTTAACAACTTGTTCCTCGGAAGGTCATAGGTTAAAATAAGTAGTGGGCACACATCAGATAACCCGTTGTCTGATTTTGAGTTGAACATACTATACACACACACACACAGAGTTAAAAACAAAATCCTGTTATTCTTTCCCCCAAATATGGTTTGGCCATTTTTGAAGTTAAAAAAACGTTCACTGATAATTTCCTTTTTTTTAACGTGGTGTCGTTAATTTGACAAATGTGAGAAAAATACAATATATAATATTCTGAAAAATACAATATTCAGAAAAATACAATATATAATATTCTGAAAATTATAATATTCACAAAATACAATAGATAATATTCAGAAAAACAGATTATATAATATTCAGAAAAATACAATATATAATATTTAGAAAACATAACGGGTTATATATTTAAATTAAAAGATTCGCCAAAGAACAAGAATATATTGTTTACGATTCACTGAAAGTAACTAGAACAGTTTCTTCACTGCTGTAAATACATTTACCCATATTGCTATGTTGTAATCACCCCACACTTACCCATATTGCTATGTTGTAATCACCCCACACTTACCCATATTGCTATGTTGTAATCACCCCACACTTACCCATATTGTTATGTTGTAATCACCCCACACTTACCCATATGGCTATGTTGTAATCACCCCACACTTGCCCATATTGCTATGTTGTAATCACCCCACACTTACCCATATGACTATGTTGTAATCACCCCACACTTGCCCATATTGCTATGTTGTAGTTACCCCACACTTACCCATATTGCTATGTTGTAGTTACCCCATTGTTTCAGCAAGAAAGAGGCGCCAATAGTCTGTAAAGCATAGTAAAAAAATATGTAAAACACTAGAGAAAATTACATAAAATGATTGAAATAACACGTGAAACCAAAACTGTATAAAATATTGTAAAATACTGTTGAAATAACACGTAAAACCTACACTGTATACAGTATTGTAAAATATTGTTGAAATAACACGTAAAACCTAAACTGTATACAGTATTGTGAAATACTGTTGAAATAACACGTAAAACCTGAACTGTATACAGTATTGTAAAATACTGTTGAAATAACACTTAAAACCTGAACTGTATACAATATTGTTGAAATAACACGTAAAACCTAAACTGTATACAGTATTGTAAAATATTGTTGAAATAACAAGTACAGCCTAAACAAAATACATATTGTAAAATACCGTTGAAATAACACGAAAGAAACAAGCTCCACACAGTAACGTATAAAACAAATCAATGAATCATTTTATAAGCTACAACATTATTCTCAATGAGATAAAAAAAACAACGGAATTGTGTAAAAATGAAGTACATTAAACAACAATACGTTTAACATAACACCTTAAACATGCAGATAAATACAACACGAATTAGAATATGCTTTATGAACTGATCTCATGACGAATTTGCATTCTGAGAAAAAAAAATACAGAAACTGGGATAATTCAGAAACTTTTGGACGAAAAAAAGTTTTAAAAAAAAGCTTAATTATATTTTGGAGTATACTTTTAACACTATTATTAAAGCCTATAGAACAGTTATAACCGAATTTAGGATATCAAGACACTGAAAACCGTTTTATACAAACAGTCCTACATACAAGTTTAGGATAACATGAGTAAAGACGAGTTAGGATAACAGTACTATCTATAAATAAATTGGTACTTACACTCACACTTCCTATACGTAAGTACCAATTTAATTATAGATAGTACTGTTATCCTAACTCGTCTTTACTCATGTTATCCTACTGACACTTCCTTGGAATTTTCGGTCTATGTACCGTCGTACTAGCGAAGTTTTTCCAACATTAGCGTCTCCAACAAGCACAACTTTTAAATCTCTAGAGAAGTAAATCATTAATGTTAATACGATATTTACAGTTCTTGGTATCAACTTTGATGTAAATTTTGTAAAACACTGGAAAACCGCTATGATACATGCTTACTTAGACAGTAGTTTGTACACGACATCAGATTCCTTCAAACAATCAATAAAATACTCAGTTATCAACCCATCATATTGTCACAATTCTAATCACGATCTGACGAACCATTTCACATATAGCAATAGGCATGCTAACGTGGTTAGCTGTTAATAGACATTAAAAACTTCTTGGTTGTCCTATAAATATTTAGAAAATTATGTTGTTGGTAACTTAACAATCTTTATTTCTATACTGTTATTGTATATTATATTATCATACGCACAATAAGGTTTCTTCAAGGGCAACCTTAGTATAAGTCCAGTGTCAACCTATCAGATCAAAGTCCAATGTACTGTGTCTACTTATCAGATCAAAGTACAGTGTACTGTGTTTACTTATCAGATCAAAGTCCAGTGTACTGTGTCTACCTATCAGATCAAAGTCCAATGTACTGTGTCTACCTATCAGATCAAAGTCCAATGTACTGTGTCTACCTATCAGATCAAAGTCCAGTGTACTGTGTCTACCTATCAGATCAATATTCAATGTACTGTGTCTACCTATCAGATCAAAGTCCAACGTACTATGCCAACCTATCAGATCAAAGTCTAGTGTACTGTGCCAAACTATCAGATCAATATTCAATGTACTGTGTCTACCTATCAGATCAAAGTCCAGCATACTGTGCCAACCTATCAGATCAAAGTCTAGTGTACTGTGCCAGCATATTAGATCAAAGTCCAATGTACTGTGTCTACCTATCAGAACAAAGTCCAGCGTAGTGTGCCATCCTATCAGATCAAAGTCCAGTGTACTGTGCCAACCTATCAGATCAAAGTCTAGTGTACTGTGCCAACCTATCAAATCAGTGTAGTGTACTGTGCCAACCTATCAGATCAAAGTCCAATGTACTGTATCTACCTATCAGATCAAAGTCCAGCATACTGTGCCAGCCTATCAGATCAAAGTCCAGTGTACTGTGTCTACCTGTCAGATCAAAGTTCAGTGTACTGTGTTTACCTATCAGATCAAAGTCCAGTGAACTGTGTCTACCTGTCAGATCAAAGTTCAGTGTACTGTGTCTACCTATCAGATCAAAGTCCAGTGAACTGTGTCTACCTGTCAGATCAAAGTCCAGTGTACTGTGTCTACCTATCAGATCAAAGTCCAGTGTACTGTGTCTACTTATCAGATCAAAGTTCAGTGTACTGTGTCTACCTATCAGATCAAAGTCCAGTGTACTGTGTCTACTAATCAGATCAAAGTTCAGTGTACTGTGTCTACCTATCAGATCAATATTCCCATGTACTGTATCTACCTATCAGTTCAAAGTCCAGCATACTGTGCCAGCCCATCAGATCAAAGTCCAGTGTACTGTGTCTACTTATCAGATCAAAGTTCAGTGTACTGTGTCTACCTATCAGATTAAAGTC